GGCCATCATCGGCATGTTCTTCCAGGCATTGTTTGTTTGTCTATTTGTTGTTGTGTTTGTTCGCTCCGTCAGTCAGTCGGTCGGTCGTTCATTCGTTATTCTGTTGTTGCTTCATTCCTTGACTGTTCTTTCCTTCTGTATTTACTTTTTCTTTTACACATTCATTTCGTTCTTTATTATTTATCGTTTTTGTTCGTCCGTCCGTCTGTTTGTCTGTTTTGGCGTTTGTCTGTTTGTGTGTTCGTATGCTTGTGTGTTTGTTTGGGTGTTTGTCTGTTTGTATGCTTGTTTGTTTGTTGGAATGTGTGCTTGTTCGTTTGTTTAAAAAATTATTCAATAGTTTGCTTGCTTACGACTAGGTTGCTTTTAGCATGGTTTCAAATGTTTCTCTCATTTGTAGGATGGCCTCACCGGCAGCGCGTGGGGAGACTGGGCCAACTACACCGCTTCGCCTTTGCGAGCATTCGAGAACGAGCTCGGAGTGCAGGCAACGGCTAGTTGTACAATATTTTCTCGTACCTGCACCTAACGTAGGCACTCCCTTGCAGGATGCCCTGCAAAGTGGAGGACGTCTTACTTGCTTGATCTGATAGCGGGAACACTCGTGAGACACGGACTTCTTTTGCTCTGAGCATTTTCGTGCATCTCGCCCCTGCCTCCAAATTTCAACCCTGCCCCCTGCCGTGGTCTTGGTGGTTTCCCAAAATAAGGGGATCCCAATATAGACCCCAAAATACTATGGTCATTATTATAGGGACCCCAAGAAAAGGCACCCCTAATTTTGGGAAGCCCCCACTTCACTCGCGACAGGGTTTGAACCTATTGCAGGCACCGTTCGGCTTCTTTGATCCCCTCGGCCTCACAAAGGTGCCTTGGACGGCTGAATTTGTGTGAAGCAGGAAGATCTAGGAGTGCTACGTAGCAAAATGTATTAGACATGTACTGCGTTGCAGACTGTGTACAAGCCGAAGGTTCCTTAGTACATACCTAGCGCATAGAATCCCTAATATTACCATTATATTTCCTGGGTATAGATACCCAATGTCATGAGTATAGATGCCTAGGATCCCTTGGGCAGGGATGTATAAGAACGGAGTCCGAGGACCATACCAGGTTCGCCCTACGCCTGCTTTTCAAATGCAGATTTTAGGGTTCGGGGTCTAGGTCGCAGATATTTGTGACAAGTTCGAAAACGTCTCCATAAGTATTCGTGTTTTGCGAGACTGGCAGGAAATTTGAATCCCTAGTATGGCCCCCTAAAAGCTTTAACATGGAACGGATTCCTCTAATCCGTATTTCCGAGGCCTCATTTAGACACCTACTTCATGCAGAATACATGAATTATGACATCACGCAGGAGAAGCCAGTACAGTAATCGAAGAGGCAAGTAATGATGTACCCCCAGGATCCCTAAATCCTAAACCCAGAACCCAACCTCGGACCCAAAAATCACGAGTGCTTTCCTGGTGGTTCCTAGAATAGGGAGATTGGGGTCTATAGCGGGGTGTTTTTTTAGGGAACAAATTTAGACACCGAATCCCCCAAGGCGGGCCTTAGCCGTACAACCATTCGGATTTAGGGTTTAGGGTTTAGGGTTTAGGGTTCGGATTTCTGCTTGTGAAAGGGGAGGTGCCTTGATTACAACATGTCCAGATCCTCAAGGCAGAAACACGCCCTAAACCCAATAAACCCTATAAATCCTATGAAACCTACTATGCCCTATAAACCCTTTAATCCCAACAAAGGACGGGGACGTGGAGGCCTTCAAGCGCCGCCGCTCTTCGGAGCGGGTTTTTGCATCGGGGCTTTCGGGTTGACTGTTCACCTATGTTCACCTTAAACTACCAGGTTTAGGGTTTTGGATTTAGGGTATAAAAACGATTAATTGGGGTAATGGAAAATAAAATGGAAGCTACTATACTGGAGAATCAAATGGAAAAGAAAATGGAAAATGAAATGGAAACTGGAATTATATAACAGGACCCTCCTTGTACCCTTAATTGGGGATATATGGTCCCCAAGAGTGGGTACTTAGGCCCTAATAGAAGGTAGGAGGAGGGTCTAGGTAATTTTTAAACCGCAAACCTTAAACTCCAAACCCCCAAACCCTAACCCCTAAACTCTAACACTAAACCCGGGTCTAGGGTCTGTAGAGTATAGGGCGAGGAGCCAGCATCTTTGCGGTGAAAGGGCGTAGGGTTTGGGCTTTGAGCAGCCTTGAGTTTTAGGGTTTGAGGTTTAGGCTTTAGGGTTTGGGATCTAGGGTTTAGGGTTTGCGGGTTTAAGAGTAAAACCCTGTGTTTTGCTCTGAGGGTCTAACGGCAAGTGTTAGAAGGGCTGCTGAGGAGAGATCTTTACATAGAACACAAGAAGGTGGTTATGTACTTTTATAGTTCAAAGGTCAAGGTCTTCATTTGGTTTATGTGTAGCCTCCGAAATTATACTTCCTTAAGTAGACAGAATTTGGCTTTGGGTACAGTATAATAAGGTTCCAATATACCCCATATTCTATCTACTTAAGGGGGACTATAAGCGTGAAACCTGGGTGAACACAGACTTGATAGGGGCTTCTTACGTTTTCGGATGGGCTCGGGGGCGGGAATTGCTTGGGATTTTATAGGGGTTATATAGGGATAAACAAATGTTAATCGGGAGGCTGAGGCTGGGAAGAGTCTTCAGTCTCAAGATGCCCTGTTTGGGGACTTGGAAATAGACAAATTTGGAACGGGACTACTTCCCTGGTCGAGCGTGCAACTTGGGAATCCACAGCTGATGCTCCCGGCATTGGCCTACTCTACGCTGACGAGCTAACGCTGCCAGGAGAGGAAAGGCTGATCACACTCAGAGCCGACCAGGTTGCTCATGGCTCGGTCGGAGTGGCATTATGCAATTTCGTTTTCCCTCAGCATAAGTTGGACGTCAAAGGAAGAGCATATTTGCTGCTCATCATCCCGGGCCCTTTGGGTGGGGACCTTAAGATCCTCACTGAGGTTGGACCACCTGCGTTTGCTCGCACATTCAAATGTGTGCTTTCCATGGAAGAACCCATTTGGCAGGGTAAGTTTCCTAAACAGGTGACGGGCATTAATGTCGGCTCAGGGAACGTTGGGAAACTTTGAATCATCAGATAACACCAGCAGTGTTTCCTAACAGTTCCGGTATAGTTACAAATTCATGCACTCCTAAGCCCTATCGTAATAGCTTATGTTCCTAAATAGATTTGTCAATGTCCAGGGCAGAAAAGTAGCAAGGTACCTTCAGCGTCATGCTCTGTGAAATCCTTATATCCCGCGCCCTGCACCATGCACTGGTTGTTAGGGTTGTACAGGCGAACCTTCAACGAAAAGAACTTTTCAAACTGGAGGGTACCCTAAGTTTCAGGCTTCTACATGAGACTATTGCGATGCGTAACCGGACATGTCGCATCTCGAAGTAGGTTTCTGTGCAACACACGGTAGCACAAACAGGCTTTGCAATCTACGTGACAGAAAGAAGATGGAGGTTGTAGAGCGAAATGTTGATAATTAGCATGTCCAGAATGGGAGAACGGACCCTAAGCCTTGGGGTGTTCAATCCTGCATCCAGGAGCTGAAGAACGGCCGTGTCGCAATGCTTGCCACCATGGGCATCCTGGCATGAAATTGAGTTTACCAGGGCCCGCCACCCAAGTGCCATGCGGAGCGATGTGAGGGGCTTCCTAAAGTTGTGGACATTTTTGGGGGGAGACAAGATCGATTATGATAATAGGGCTGGCCGATTTCACCATGTATCATTGAGAGAAGCAGTCATTCGTTTTCGTGGTTTAGGCGAAATCCAACGATTTTCTAAGTTATGCTGCGTTGCATTTAAGGAACTTAATTAAAGCTACCATATAATGGGTACATAATGATATATATATATATAGGAAATAATAGGGTTTCACCAATACAGCTTCTTAAGTTAAGTTCCTTCACAGCAACCCAGTATGCCTTGCAGAGAATTGTATGCACTTTGGCGAGGCAGGACACGACATCAGCATCCCGAAGAACTATCAAAGACCCTCCCGCAACCCCAGCACTCAATCTTTAGTCTCCTTCGCTTCGATATAACCCTAAGGAATTATTTGGAATACTATTTATATTATGGGTTTAAGGAGACTACAGGAATATGCCCCGAAAATATATGAAATGTCTTATCTGATGCTAGGGGTGGGGGGGTTTAAGATTACGGAATGTGAGCGCAACGGTATGTTGTTATATGCTCTTTTCATGACCGAAGGGAATCAAAGTAGACTTGGGCTTGCAAGACAGCAGAACAGTTTGGACAGGACTTACCAGGTTTTTCTCATGGTATAAGCTTCCGTGTAGCAAGGTACAAAAATCTGGGCCTCTTTTTGACGATTTCCATTTGCGTGTTCACTCGGATTCCAAAATTACGCCTGTCACAGGGATGCTAAATTAGCAGGAACATCAGCGGCTTTAGGGTGTAAGATTTGGGGTTTAGGGTTTGGGGCTTGGGGTTCAGGGTTTGGGGTTTAGGGTTTAGGGTTTAGAGTTTGGGGTTTGGGGCTTAGGGCTTGGGGTTTCGGGTTTAGGGTTTGGGGTTTAGGGTTTAGAGTTTCGGGTTTAGGGTTTAGGGTTGGGGGTTAAGGGTTTAGGGAATCGCACGGTTTGGGGTTCTTGGTTAGTGGGGTTTTGAGCGTTCAGGGCTCAGAATTTTTGCTGCTTTGGGGTTGACACAGTCTGTAGTTCAAGGCGTCACTCTTCTATGGCACCCAAATTTGATCCACAAGTGTCTTCTTGCGAGGCTACATTGTGCCGGAGTACTTTCGCTTCCCAGGACTTTGATTGAAAAGTGAGAGGAAGTGCGGGAATCGGAAAGTGGCAATTGATAAGCATCATCCCGGTAGTAAAGTATTCCACATGACTTGAACGATGATGCGATTCGGTTGGTTGCATTGACTGTAATTATCAGGTATTTCTAGCTGGGTAGCCATATGGTAGTTTCCCTAACCGGGGGACCCCAACATAAACCCATCAATATTATAATCCTGATTATGGGGAACCCCAAAAAGGTACGCCTGATTTTAGGAAACCCCCATGTGTAGCCGTGCCTTTTTGACATTACAAACTTCTCAAGATGTGTGTCTAGGGTCGCACCGTTTAGACATCCGGACCCGACGTAAATTGCAGGCAGTAGCTCGTGCTTGGGATGAAAGACCCTAAGGGTCCAAGGACCCAAATAGTAAGGCTTTATGGGTCCCAAATACCATTCAGATTCTAGTGCTTGGGCCCTGAAGCCCCATTATTTTAGGCCTTGGACCCTTAGAGAAATTGAACAATCTTGGGTCTGGAGATTAAAGCCTTATAGCTAACTAATTACTGTTCAGCCAACATGCACTTAGGATCCTTTAGATTTGGTCGTTTGGTTGTATAGAAGGTTGGAGCGTTTTTTTCTCACAGATTGGTTGTTGGCCGGGCGATTCCTTTTTTTGAAAAGGGAAACCGAGTAGAAGATGCGCAACAGACAGGTTTTACTAATTTCTGCAAGGCATAAAGTCAGCATAAGTATACTTTCATAATGGAATGGAGCTGGGGGGTGGGTTTTCCTACGAGTATGCAAGGATCGAAAGTGAATCTTCATGTTGGTAATGTTCAGGTTCCTACAATGGTCACCAGATGCAGATTTTGCATTTCTTTCACACACACACACATGTCGGCATAGACACTTGCATACAAGAAATTGTGGCCTTCGTGTTCCCGACTGGCATACTCTATAAACTGTTGTGTCCATAGGTGCGGCTTTAACAATAAGAGGACCCACGTTTTCCCCGCTGGCGAGAAACATGATATGCTAAGACCAGCAGCCGACAGACTGTGCTGGGATCTGGTTTTGCTGGTTCAGCACACCATCCTTCACATAGATCCCACGCATCCTACCCAAATCCCTAGTCATCCTTCACTTTCAAACCTTCACCCCACTCGCGAACATTTGTCCTGAAACACCACCTGAACCCCTTGGCCCGAAGAGTGAGAGTCAATAGCTTGAAAACGAAATCCGAATCCGCCCCCCACGTCTTACACATCCTACCTCATTGAGAAGATTGCCTCCAAACATGCACACGCTATAGTCCTCCCGCCTTACGTAGATAGAATATGGGGTATATGGTTTCCGTTATCCCTATAACCCCAATATAACCCCTATCGACTTAAGGGTGACTCTACTTCATGGGGAAAGCAGGATACTGCTCACCGACCGCCGGTGTGAAGTTCACCGACATCCCGAACGGTTTGGCGGCGCTGAGCAAGGCCATCCGGCTTATAATAAGGGGGATTTAGGGTTTAGGGTTTTACAGTATTTTGGTGTTTATATTGGGTTCCCCCTGTTTTGGGGAACCACCATTTAGGCAAAAAAGAACAGGTTTTATGTTGAGGTCGAGGACGTGTATGCAGGTGTTGTGTTCTCATCAACTTCTAGAAGTTCATCACTAGGAATTGTGCAGCAAGAGTGTACGATTTGAACGGGAACTGCGATGTGCTTTGTTGTTGTGAAAGTACATGGGCCGACAAGATTCGTGGACGCTGTTTCAAGACAGGCAAGGATGAAACCAGACATTATGGTTTAGGGTTTAGGGGTTTAGGGTGTAGGGTTTAGGCCGGATGGAATTTAATTCAAGACGGGGAAGGAAGTGGGATTTCCCGGGATGAGGCCAAACAGGGTCTGGGGTTACATGGGCTACAGTCTAAACACCTTGAAGGAGGCTTTATAGGGGATTATATACGGGAGCATTATAGGGGTTATTGGGGGGGATAGTAATTAGGAGTTTAGACTAAAGCTCACATGGGATATTATCCCACTTAAGATCTCCATATACTCCATATTCTATCTCCTTCAGGGGGGCGTTCCTTGTTTAGGACTTCCGTGGCACTTCAGCTCCTGTTGTTGCGAAAGCCTTCAAGTTGAAGGCCAAAAGCTTGAGAATGTAGTATAAAGGGTGTGTATATATATATAGGGTATATGTATATACATATATATATATGGTAACCCCCC